ACATGCATATTTCATATTTATGTAAACTTTGCAATTTTAACTAACACTCACATATACATAAGCATCATTATACCTAACAAACACTCCTCACTCTTAAAAATATATCTAGCGCACACACCCTATACTAGTTCTAAGGTAGTAATACTAATGGTTCGTATCACATGTTTTATCATACATATTCTTAGCTAGGTACCATAAATTTGTTATAATTGATCTAACTTTAGATTCCTAGTAGTTTACTTCTTAAGTTTGAAGCTAAACATAATTTCGAGTTTGCATTCATAATAAAACGTAATTACTACAAGGTATATTTATGTGTCAATAAATCAAGAGTTCTCATAAATTTAAGAACACATAATTAGAGCATAAAAGCATTTCTAGGATTTTATAAGGTTCATCATCCCCATAACATAACAGGAAACGGGGACGGAATTCATACTAAAATGACAACATTAAAATACATATTAACTAAAATGGAGCGGAAACGTACTAACCTTATAGAAAGATTTCTTCTAAAATTTTGTTGACGGAAGAACCTCCTATGGCCGCCCTTCTCCTTTTGTGTTATCTAGTTTATTTTGATGGGTCTTTTTTTTTACTCTACTAAATGGCCAGGTCGAGTAGTCCTCGGAAGAAGAGAGCCAAGGCTTATTTTATATCCAAATAGTCTCTAAACCTCCCCTCTTATTTGACCAATCAAAAAGAAGATGCTTTTGACCCTACTATCTATTATCAAAACATTTGAGCCCACTATCACATTTTTGCACAAGGCTTCACGTGGCAATACATAGGTGTAGCATGTGAATTTGGCTCCCTCCTACCCCTGCATGATCCAAAGGTTTTAATGGTAGAATTCTTTATTTGGGTAGTGTGAGATTGTATGGTCTTGATGCCATTGTTTCGTTTGTTTTTCACTACCTATTATTGAGATGCATGAGCCACTTGCAATTCTATTTATTTATTTATTTATTTATTTCCAGTCTACTGATAATGTATAGTGAACTACAGAGTGCTACGATGAGTTTGACACTATTGGTACTGATGCATTATTTCTAGATTAATTTTAGGACATAGGTCTAGCGAAACTAACATGAGTAAAGGTTTTTATTGTTGGACTTAGTTACGTGTACATATATATATACATTTGATACCTTATTTTCTATACCACTTATTATAGTCATTATTATTATATTATTATTATTATAAAGAAAATAGCTAACGATAAGTTGTCAATTTATTATGGAATATTAAAGAACAATAATTGCTTAATTTGGTGTGGAATACTAATAAAATATAAAATTTATTCCTGAGTAGTTTAACAATTAGACCGGATTTTAGGGCGTTACAAGTACAATAAATTCCTATTAGCTAATTTTGTCATAATGAAAGTATGAAATGTGAAGAGTGAAGACAAATACAAAGTATGTGAAGAGTGAAGACAAATACAAAGTATTAGCTAAACATGTATTTTCATACATAAGTTATTTATTTATATTCTAAAGATGAAGAGTGAAGACAAATACAAAGTATTTTTATAAATATCACAAGTTGTTCGGTTCGTTTTACGAGTTTCCGATTTAAAACCTAACCAAGCCAAATCATTCGGTTTGAGAAATTATCACCAAACAATTTACTTAAGTGTACCCAAACCTATTTAAAAAAGTGTATCCAAACCAAACTAAAGAACCAAGTTTCGGTTTGATTTGATTAAACCAAATCATTTTGTCCAGCTTACTTTTCTTTTTTATCACCGCTAATGCTTTTTTTTACACTATTCATTATCTTTACTACTTTTCACTTAAGTATTGTGCCAAACCCTATTGTAGCAAACATTTAAATGTGAAGGGAGTATATAAACACACACACACACATTTCTTTTATAGATAGTATATACATATAGTTTTGATCTTATATTCAATTTTATGTTGTGCATAGGACGGATGGAAATTTATTAATGATTGATATAAGATAATAATTACATATTTATGACTAAAATAAAAGTTTTCTATATACATAAATGTGAACACTTAAATGTAATGACTACATTCCATGTATTTCAATTATTATGTATTTTGATAGATACCTGTTTCCTAAAATATTACTAATAAACCATTTATGGACAAAAATGTGGCTGTAAGTTAATATGAGTAATTTTATAGCCACAACAATGTAACTTTTGAATATAATTAGTCACTAATGTTACTAGAGTCACATTTTTGTTCACTATTTTTATTGTGATTATATATTTGGAATTATTTCTAAATGATTTTGGTGTAGTCATACACACAAAAGTTTTTATTAAAAATATTAACGACACACCTCAAATTTCAAAATTCTGGTAGGAAAAAACAAAGAGGAAATAGATATGCCACACACGATCAATCTATCTTCCCTAGCCTCTTCTTAAAGGTTTTTGCCTTCACTTACTTTGTTGTCAAATACTAAGAGCATCTCCATTTGATGGGATTATGGGACTAGGCCCAATGCCTAATCAGACTTGGCCCCAAACTTGGATCAGCGGGTCCAAGCCCACGGCTGTTGTCTCGCCAGGCAAGCCCATCTAGTGAACCCAGCGATCAGATATCAGGTCGACCCAACCGACCGGGCCCATCAGGGAGTGGAAGTCCGGCGGAGCAGAAGCCCAAGACGGCCTGCCTACCGGCCCAACCGGAAGCCTGTCTTCGGTCTAGCGAGGAGCCTGATTCCGGCCCAGCAGAAGCCTGTCGCCCAGGGAGCCCGAGCGCCCAGCCTGCCAGGGAAGAGCAACGGCCAGCCAACCAGGGAAGAGTAACGGCCAGGCATTAATACGATATTTATTTATGTGATTAATTATGTATTAACATGGTAATTAAATTAGCCATTATAACGTTTGGCAGTTACCATTTGTAATCGCCTATATAAGGCAAGTTGGATTCAAATAATAGACAAGTTATTTTCTGGCTATCAAACTCTCTAGCTACTTTCCTTATTCGTATTGCTTTCCTGATTTCTGCTTGAGTGCCCTTACGTAGCTTTCCTAAAAGCCTACGAGCGTCCTATTTTGGACCAACACCATTCATGATACTCAACTTTACGGTTTTTATGGCTTATTACTGTCATGTTACCTCTACATAAGAAAATCTCAAATAATCTTCAAAATCTGTCAATTTCTCCTCATCCATAATCTTAATTTACCTAGATTTTTTATGAGACATACGCTCAATTTCAAAATCTCTAACTTAAATGCACTCACACACTCACATGCACTCCATATTATTAGGTACATAAAAAAGTGTACTATTCTAGTTTCTAAATACGGATGGATTATTAAGTACACTACGTACAATATACACTACATAAGTACACTATTATATATGTATATACTATATACCAGGTAGTATATTATTAGGTACACTAAATTTATAATACTAGAGTACTAGTACTATATTACTATATATATTACACCGTACACCATCATAATTTTTTTATATCTAAAACTATATATCGTAATTGATAAAACATTTCTATATCACTTCTTGGGTTTGGAGGTTGAACTAGTGCCGCATGCACTTTTTAATTTAGTAATGGATACTGCTATCAATTTTTTAATTTCATAGCAACGGATGACACTTCATTTATTGGATCGGAGCATGAGCATGCACGAGCTACAAAGCTACCTTAATTATGTGTATATGCCTAGAAAATGAGGAAAGGAGCATAGAACTTGAAAATAATCTTCAAATAATCTAGCTTTAGAATTTGATACCAGATTTTTATATCAAACAATCCCTTCAAATAATCCTAACTTCTAAACCATAATCTCAAAAAAATTCCTCCACATCATCACAATGATCTCTAAAAAAAACTATGAATGGGAATGCCCTAATACATCACCATTAAATAATTTTACATGTATCGTGAAATTGGAAGGCAAGGAGGTGGGGCCAACCGGGATTAATCTGCTATCATACTTTCACACTAGAGGCTACAACTAGACAGGATTTTCGAGGAAGGGGGGTGTTGGCACTCACCAATAACCATCGCACGGATAAAGAACTCGTCGGAGAGGTTGACCGATCTTCCTTGTGGGTGGACACCAATGACTCGCCAGAGAAGTTGATTGATATTCAATGTTGGTGGACACCAAAGGAGACCACCGACATGCCATGTATTCAATGTAGACTTTTAAAAGACTATAAAATCTATTCATATTCAAATTTATGTGCATTCATATTGACTTCTTAAAATATGGATTTTAGTGGACTTTTTACTCATTCTTAGTACATTAATTCTCTGCAACCGTCTCTTCTCCTCACCAATGATTTCCGTAAACATTTCTGTGGACATGTCTTATACTAATCACAAGTACACATATATAGACCTGATAAGAATAACACTTGATTTGGCTTATTATTTACCCCGCGGGATCACAAACTGGCCAACTGTAACACCGTCCCCAAATATATTTACTTTTATGTAAATAATGTATTGAACCTTATTAAAGGATTAATGAATTTACGAAGTTGTAAATTTTTATTATTTCGTTCGTGTGAATAGTAAATTGCACGTGGGACCCACACCGGGAGCGGGGGCCGCCCAATATTCCCGAGATCACATAAATTATTCTTATGGGTCGAAATAATATTTATATAGTGGTGGACATCTTATTTGGGCCATGGGAAGGCCTGGGGTTGACCGATTGGCCAAAAGAAGCCCAAATACCAGTACCGACAATTTAACAGATAACAGCCCGAAAATGAATTTCGGAGACTTCTAAATGAATGTTTTGGAATATATATTATTTCAAGAGGCCATTACGACTGGGAACACGTAATATATTTTATTTGACCCGATAAAATAAAATATAATTTAAACAGTCCGAAAAATACAACTTTCGGGGCCAATTGTACACATCGGGACATAAAGGGTTGACCTCCCACATGGGTGGGGGCCAACCCACGAAATTAGCCACCCAAATTAAAGTATTGGCCGGCTGGGATGGGAAGGGGAAGGTGAGAGGTGTTGGAGTTGAGGTGAAGAGCATCAAAGTACATGAGGTGGACCTCCCATCCACACTCATTTGTTCAATGAGACAAAAGAGTAATCTTCACCCCTCTCTCCCTCATTCCTGCGGCCAGCACACCCCAAGCAAGAGGAAAACATCTTCCATTTTCCTTTTCTCCATTGTTGAAGGGAGCTCAACAAGAAGGAAGCTCAAAGAAAGTAGTTAAAGTGCTAAAAGTGAGGAAAAGCTAGGTAATGATTCATTTACTTCTTTTCTTCTCTTTTTCTTGAATATCTTATTATTTAAGAAATTTATGAAGAATCCCAGAATTATTACACTTGTTGATAAGTTTTGAGTAGGGGGTTGGAAGGTAGTTCTAAGTCCAAGAACGGACTTGGGAGCCAAAACGACCGGTATGCCGGAAAATAGCCTTTTAAAGGTTATTTGTATTAATATGGGTTTTATGATTATAAAACCTTGTTAGGAACTTGTAAATGGTATTTCAAGTGATTTCACAAAGTTGGAAAAGTCGCCGGAATTGTCGCCGGAGTTGACCAAAAGTCGCCGGAGTTTCACCGGAGTTCAACCAAGAAGGGTAGAACTTCATAACGCTAGTTCAAGGTGAGTGGACGGCTTAATATCTTATAATTTTTGGGTTAATTATGAGATTACCTAAATAAATGTTATATGAGTTCATAATGATGTTTAAAGGATATTTAAACATGTGATTAGCCAATAGGGTTAAGCTTGTATGAAAGAAATTAATTGTTGATGCATAGAATATGATATGAAGAATTATATGAAATGCATATTTGTTTGAAGTGTATTAGAAGTACAAATGAATATTATTAACTTAATTATATGATGATTAAGTTGATACACACAAGGCATGAAATGGCGGTCAACGAAAACGTTGACCGAAGGACAAAGGATTTAATTAATACCGGTTGGTATTAATTAATTATAAATCTATATAAATGCATGGTTTTGCATGGATTGTGATACGTAAGCTTTATGTATTGAATTAGTTATGAGTAACTAAGTATGATATAGACTCTATCTAGGTTGATAGGAGGTTGATCATAGGAAAATATTTTGGTGGAGGACCCTAGTACTAAAAAGTACTTAACACTCAAAATTTGGTGGAGGACCCTAGTACTTAAAAGTACTTAACACTCAAAATTTGGTGGAGGACCCTAGTACTTAAAAGTACTTAACACTCAAAACTTGGTGGAGGACCCTAGTACTTAAAAGTACTTAACACTCAAAATTTGGTGGAGGACCCTAGTACTTAAAAGTACTTAACACTCAAACTTGGTGGAGGACCCTAGTACTTAAAAGTACTTAACACTCAAACTTGGTGGAGGACCCTAGTACTTAAAAGTACTTAACACTCAAAACTTGGTGGAGGACCCTAGGACTTATGAGTCCTTAACACTCACAAACCGGTGGAGTACCCAAGGATTATGATCCTCAAAACTCATAGATTTTGATATTGAAATAGGGACAAGGAGGAGTCCTATACACTCATAGGTATATGGGTGGGTTGGGGTTTTTAGTCAAGAATATTGACTATTACTATTTTTCCCAAATAAAACAGTGATCTACGGATCGGATATTTTCCAAGTGTATATATACTAATAAGTATTTCATAACTTGGGGGAAAGACTATTTATTTAAGTATCACCCTATGTTTGGGCTTATACTTGAAACGCTAGTTATTCTATATTTAGCCTGCTACTCGCTCGGTACTTGTACTGACCCCTTCGGGGGCCCCCACCATTTTCAGGTTGAAGCTAGGGCTTGCTACTTGCACCTTCTCACGGGTGATATCAAATCAGGAAGACGTGGTTCGTGCTTCCTTATTTTCTTTCAAACTACCGAACACTTGCTCATGGATATTTGTTTTACTATAAACTATTTTTGGGGCTTGCATGCCCATGTTGTTGGCCGGTTGTGGCCCATGACTTACCGTTGAATATTTCCGCTATTCATAGGTTTAAATGTGATGTTGTTATGCATGTTTACTACTGAGTATGGATGGATTGTTTTCTCGAACGCCTTGTGTAATTAAGTGAGGTTGACTCGTGGGTGACGTCACTTAGTTATACGGCGGTTGTACACGCGCTTGGATTGCGGTCTGGGGCGTGACAATTAAGTGGTATCAGAGCCATCTTAGTTCTAAACTATATAATCAACCTCTCACAAAAGATTTTACAAAAGAGTTTTTGCCGAAAACCATGAGCATTGTATTTTGACGTTTATAGGACTATTGGTGCTTAAGTTGCAAGGTCTCTAATTGTTAAGACGGTACCCTTAACAATTGGTATGGCGGTGGCTTGGGCCAATACGTGTCTATAACGTTCTTCCGTCAATTGACATTTATAGGAGTCTAAAGACTCGTCCAAATTTCGTTTCAGAAATGGAGGGTAGGCGAATGGCAACAAGAAATGACCCTAAGGGACAAGCGTCGGTAGCTTACCTTGAGGCTAGCCGGGCTGTGTCACGAGCCTTTACGGGGAGAGGAATAGGTCATGGGGGCCGCGAGGGCCGCCAAGCGGCAAGCGCTAGCCGAGTGGGCTCGATGTGTAACATGAACACCAGGAGGAACGAACGTAGGCGTCAGGCTAGGCGAGATCGGGCCACCTCCCAACGTGATATGACTGCCAGTCAAACCCATCCTTGGGCAAACGACCGAGGAGGAGAAAGCACTTTTACGGCACCGGCATCACCGATGAAAAAGAAAAGGAACTCAAAGTGGCATGCGTCCTTTCCTTACTCTTTAAGACCATCCGAATGTTCGGATTGCTCTAACAAACATTTCAGAAAGTGCAACGAGCCCCCGATGTGCTACAAATGTGGGAGCACAACCCATATGAAATTAAGTTGCCCATGGTGGAGGCAACGAGGGACATCGCAAGCCGAGGAAGGGCTCACCGTGGAAGGAAACCATACGGAACCAACGACGAGCAACGCTACGTCCGTCAATCAAGGCGGGGCCCAAGCAAGGGTCTACGCAATGACCGAGGCGGATGCGCGAGCAAACATGGACTCCGTTGCAGGTAATACACTTATTTCCATGTATTTCTAGGCTTATTTTGATCATATAAACCGTTGGGGGTTGAGTTCGGGCCACCCCAGGATCAAACGGAGCGAAATTGGGCGAAATCGGGCGAAATCGGGCTGATTTCTGCCAACGCACTCCAGGCTGGGCTGCACGCACGGTCGTGCGTTCCCAGTGCGTACCTCCGTGCGTTGGTGGCAGTAGCACCCCAGAAAAATTTCTTACACGCACGACCGTGCGTGTCTGGACGCACGCCGTGCGTACCTCCGTGCGTACCAGTGCGTTGGTCCGTGCGTTAGGGGCAGTAGCCTCCATTGGGAAGGCAAGGTACGCACAACCGTGCGTACCCCCTACGCACGCCGTGCGTGGACCCCCAGCACCCAAAACTTGATTTTTTCGCCCCGTTCTTCTACGTTTGGACCCCCGTTTGATTCCAAACATTAGTATAAACCTAATAACCTCCTAAAGATGTGTAAAAACATTAGAAAAGGTATCTTACATGGTGTATAAATGTAGGAACATTAAAGATCAATGGTAGGTGTGCGAGGATCCTCATCGATACCGGGGCACAACGCTCATTTGTGAGTGAGGCGTTCGCCGAGGGCCTTGACGTGCCATTGACGCCTATGACGCAAACATTGCTAGTCTCCACACCGTTAGGAGACGACGTGGAGAGAAATCATTATTATCCATCATGTGAGGTGGAAGTGACGGGTCAACCCTTGACTTGTGATTTTGTACCTCTAAGCATGTTGGAGTTCGATGCAATCCTAGGAATGGATTGGCTTGAGAAGCACCATGCTCGAGTAGATTGCTACACCAAGGTGTTAGAGCTCGAGGATGATCAAGGAAACACGCTATGTTTCGAAGGAGATCGGAGGAAATCTAATGCTTGTATCATATCCGTGATGAGAGCACGGAAGATGATGAGGAAGGGATGCCACGCATACCTTGCTTACGTGGTAGACGATACAAAGAAAGAAGTCGACATCAAGGATGTTCGAGTCGTGTGCAAGTACCCAGATGTCTTTCCCAAGGACCTACTGGGGCTTCCACCCGATAGAGAGATTGAATTTGTAATTGAAGTGGAGCCGGGAACCAAACCCATTTCGATTCCTCCTTATCGAATGGCACCGGCCGAACTTCAAGAGTTGAAGGTCCAACTACAAGAATTATTGGACAACGGATTCATCAGACCCAGTCATTCACCGTGGGGGGCACCCGTACTCTTCGTGAAGAAGAAGGATGGTACACTAAGAATGTGTATCGACTACCGACAGTTGAACAAGGTCACAATCAAGAACAGGTATCCCTTACCGAGGATTGATGACTTGTTTGATCAACTTCGATGGGCAATAGTATTCTCGAAGATTGATTTGAGGTCAGGGTATCATCAGTTGAAGATCAAGGAGAGTGACATACCTAAGAGTGCATTTCGCACTAGATATGGTCATTACGAGTTCCTTGTGATGTCATTTGGTTTAACCAACGCACCGGCAGCATTCATGGACTTGATGAACCGCGTGTTTAGTGAATACTTAGATCAATTTGTGATCGTATTCATTGATGATATCTTGATATACTCCAGGAGTGAGGAGGAGCATGAACGTCATTTGAGACTTATACTTGATCGGCTAAGGGAAAAGCAACTCTTTGCCAAGTTCTCTAAATGCGAATTTTGGCTCAAAGAGATTGGTTTCCTCGGTCATGTCATATCCGGTTCGGGCGTTGCCGTGGATAACGCCAAGATTAAAGCTATTATGGATTGAGAGAGACCCAAGAATGTGAAAGAGATACGTAGTTTCCTTGGCTTAGCGGGATACTATCGTAAATTTGTTGAAAAATTCTCCGTATTGGCGTCTCCATTAACGAAGCTCACAAAGAAAGGGGCCAAGTTCATATGGGACGACAAGTGTGAGAAAGGGTTCCTTGAACTGAAGAAACGACTTACCGAAGCACCGGTCCTCGCCCTACCCATACAGGGGATAGGGTACGATATATACAGATATGCTAGCATCCAAGGGCTTGGATGTGTACTGATGCAAAACGGTAAAGTGATTGCCTACGCTTCTAGGCAATTGAGGAAACATGAGGTGAACTACCCTACCCATGATCTAGAGTTGGGGGCGGTAGTGTTTGCACTAAAAATTTGGAGACATTATCTCTACGGGGAGACATGTCACATTTATACAGATCATAAGAGCTTGAAGTATGTATTCACTCAGAAAGAGTTGAATATGAGGCAGAGGAGATGGATGGAGTTGATCAAAGACTATGACTTGATCATCGACTACGATCCCGGAAAGGCCAATGTAGTGGCCGACGCACTGAGCAGGAAGAGTACGTCAGGGATGCTACTCACATGTCTACAGGCATTGAGGGCACGCGTGGAGGTGTCCACGTGCGAGGCTCTCATTGCTCGATTCGAGGACAGGCCTACCCTATTGGGTGAGATTAGTCGAAGTCAGGCCATTGATGAGGAATGTCAGAAGATCCGTGAAAGGATCCTTGAGGGGCCCGTTGAGAATTTTCAGGTACGTAATGATGGTCTTTTATTGTTTGAAGATCGTGTGTGCATACCAAGGAATGAGGAACTCCAGAAGTATATACTTGAGGAGGCTCATTCTTCAGCATATGCTACGCATCCAGGAGGTACTAAGATGTACCGAGACTTGAAGGAAAGTTACTGGTGGTCAGGTATGAAGAGAGATGTCGCGGAGTATGTGAGTCGATGCCTTACTTGTCAACAAGTTAAGGCGGAGCATCAGCACCCGGCAGGGCTTTTGCAACCACTTACCATCCCTGAGTGGAAGTGGGAGCACGTGACCATGGACTTCGTGGTGGGACTACCGCGAACAGTGAACAACTATGACGCAGTATGGGTAGTGGTTGATAGGCTCACCAAGAGTGCACACTTTTTGCCTATCAACATTACTTATCCTCTTGAAAGATTGGCCAAGCTCTACACAGAGGAGATTGTGAGATTACATGGAGTCCCAATATCCATTGTCTCGGATAGGGATCCACGATTCACATCCCGATTTTGGCCAAAGTTTCAGGCATCATTAGGAACTAAACTGAAGTTTAGCACAACTTTTCATCCATAGACGGATGGACAGTCCGAGCGAGTGATACAGATTTTGGAGGACATGCTTATGGCGTGTGCTCTGGAGTTCCAAGGAAGTTGGGACAAAAATTTGGCTCTAGTGGAGTTTGCCTATAACAACAGTTATCAGGCGAGTATCGGCATGCCCCCATATGAAGCATTGTATGGGAGGAAATGCAGAACGCCGTTGTGTTGGGACGAGGTTGGCGAGGCCAAACTCGAAGGGATAGAACTGGTTGAGATCACCAAAGCCAAGGTGAGGATCATTCAGGATAGACTGAAGGCTGCTCAGGACCGACAGAAGAGTTATGCTGATAAACGGCGGAGACCATTGGAGTTCGAAGTTGGTGATGAGGTCTTCCTAAGGATTTCTCCTTGGAAGGGCATCATCCGATTCGTATCGAGGGGAAAGCTTAACCCTCGATACATTGGACCGTTTGAGATCCTTGAAAGGATTGGGGCTGTGGCTTATCGTCTCAAGTTAACGCCAGAACTTGAGAAGATACATGACGTGTTTCATGTATCGATGCTCAAGAAATACATACGGGACCCATCTCATATTCTTGAGAAACCGCCGGTAGAGATCCGTGAGGATTTGCAATATGCGGTAGAGCCGGTGAAGATAGTAGGTCAACAAGTGAAGAAACTTAGGAACAAGGAGATTCCTATGGTAAAGGTTCTGTGGAGAAGTGATTGGGTCGAAGAAGAAACGTGGGAGACTGAAGTCTCAATGAGGGAGCAATACCCATTTCTTTTCGATTAGATACTTGGATTTCGGGGACGAAATCCCAAATAAGGGGGGGTGAACTTGTAACACCGTCCCCAAATATATTTACTTTTATGTAAATAATGTATTGAACCTTATTAAAGGATTAATGAATTTACGAAGTTGTAAATTTTTATTATTTCGTTCGTGTGAATAGTAAATTGCACGTGGGACCCACACCGGGAGCGGGGGCCGCCCAATATTCCCGAGATCACATAAATTATTCTTATGGGTCGAAATAATATTTATATAGTGGTGGACATCTTATTTGGGCCATGGGAAGGCCTGGGGTTGACCGATTGGCCAAAAGAAGCCCAAATACCAGTACCGATAATTTAACAGATAACAGCCCGAAAATGAATTTCAGAGACTTCTAAATGAATGTTTTGGAATATATATTATTTCAAGAGGCCATTACGACTGGGAACACGTAATATATTTTATTTGACCCGATAAAATAAAATATAATTTAAACAGTCCGAAAAATACAACTTTCGGGGCCAATTGTACACATCGGGACATAAAGGGTTGACCTCCCACATGGGTGGGGGCCAACCCACGAAATTAGCCACCCAAATTAAAGTATTGGCCGGCTGGGATGGGAAGGGGAAGGTGAGAGGTGTTGGAGTTGAGGTGAAGAGCATCAAAGTACATGAGGTGGACCTCCCATCCACACTCATTTGTTCAATGAGACAAAAGAGTAATCTTCACCCCTCTCTCCCTCATTCCTGCGGCCAGCACACCCCAAGCAAGAGGAAAACATCTTCCATTTTCCTTTTCTCTATTGTTGAAGGGAGCTCAACAAGAAGGAAGCTCAAAGAAAGTAGTTAAAGTGCTAAAAGTGAGGAAAAGCTAGGTAATGATTCATTTACTTCTTTTCTTCTCTTTTTCTTGAATATCTTATTATTTAAGAAATTTATGAAGAATCCCAGAATTATTACACTTGTTGATAAGTGTTGAGTAGGGGGTTGGAAGGTAGTTCTAAGTCCAAGAACGGACTTGGGAGCCAAAACGACCGGTATGCCGGAAAATAGCCTTTTAAAGGTTATTTGTATTAATATGGGTTTTATGATTATAAAACCTTGTTAGGAACTTGTAAATGGTATTTCAAGTGATTTCACAAAGTTGGAAAAGTCGCCGGAATTGTCGCCGGAGTTGACCAAAAGTCGCCGGAGTTTCACCGGAGTTCAACCAAGAAGGGTAGAACTTCATAACGCTAGTTCAAGGTGAGTGGACGGCTTAATATCTTATAATTTTTGGGTTAATTATGAGATTACCTAAATAAATGTTATATGAGTTCATAATGATGTTTAAAGGATATTTAAACATGTGATTAGCCAATAGGGTTAAGCTTGTATGAAAGAAATTAATTGTTGATGCATAGAATATGATATGAAGAATTATATGAAATGCATATTTGTTTGAAGTGTATTAGAAGTACAAATGAATATTATTAACTTAATTATATGATGATTAAGTTGATACACACAAGGCATGAAATGGCGGTCAACGAAAACGTTGACCGAAGGACAAAGGATTTAATTAATACCGGTTGGTATTAATTAATTATAAATCTATATAAATGCATGGTTTTGCATGGATTGTGATACGTAAGCTTTATGTATTGAATTAGTTATGAGTAACTAAGTATGATATAGACTCTATCTAGGTTGATAGGAGGTTGATCATAGGAAAATATTTTGGTGGAGGACCCTAGTACTAAAAAGTACTTAACACTCAAAATTTGGTGGAGGACCCTAGTACTTAAAAGTACTTAACACTCAAAATTTGGTGGAGGACCCTAGTACTTAAAAGTACTTAACACTCAAAACTTGGTGGAGGACCCTAGTACTTAAAAGTACTTAACACTCAAAATTTGGTGGAGGACCCTAGTACTTAAAAGTACTTAACACTCAAACTTGGTGGAGGACCCTAGTACTTAAAAGTACTTAACACTCAAACTTGGTGGAGGACCCTAGTACTTAAAAGTACTTAACACTCAAAACTTGGTGGAGGACCCTAGGACTTATGAGTCCTTAACACTCACAAACCGGTGGAGTACCCAAGGATTATGATCCTCAAAACTCATAGATTTTGATATTGAAATAGGGACAAGGAGGAGTCCTATACACTCATAGGTATATGGGTGGGTTGGGGTTTTTAGTCAAGAATATTGACTATTACTATTTTTCCCAAATAAAACAGTGATCTACGGATCGGATATTTTCCAAGTGTATATATACTAATAAGTATTTCATAACTTGGGGGAAAGACTATTTATTTAAGTATCACCCTATGTTTGGGCTTATACTTGAAACGCTAGTTATTCTATATTTAGCCTGCTACTCGCTCGGTACTTGTACTGACCCCTTCGGGGGGCCCCACCATTTTCAGGTTGAAGCTAGGGCTTGCTACTTGCACCTTCTCACGGGTGATATCAAATCAGGAAGACGTGGTTCGTGCTTCCTTATTTTCTTTCAAACTACCGAACACTTGCTCATGGATATTTGTTTTAATATAAACTATTTTTGGGGCTTGCATGCCCATGTTGTTGGCCGGTTGTGGCCCATGACTTACCGTTGAATATTTCCGCTATTCATAGGTTTAAATGTGATGTTGTTATGTATGTTTACTACTGAGTATGGATGGATTGTTTTCTCGAACGCCTTGTGTAATTAAGTGAGGTTGACTCGTGGGTGACGTCACTTAGTTATACGGCGGTTGTACACGCGCTTGGATTGCGGTCTGGGGCGTGACACCAACGGGTCCTGAACTAGTACCATTCAGGTCGGAAGGTGGGTACCCGAATTGTCTCAGTATGCAAGTTTTGACAATTAAATTCTGATTTTTTTTTATCATTTTACGATAAGCAAAGTTGAACAAAGAGATTCTACATTAAAACTGATACATAAGATAAACTTAAAAAAACTTAAAAAGTGAATTTTTATATATCGTCTTATGAAGAAAAATGTAGGGTGAGATTGTTTCAGATTTTGAAAGAAAGATAGGAAACACTTGAAGAACCATTAATCCAATATCAATTTGGTTCTAGAAGTGTTAGAAGAACCAATATAAGAATCAATAGTATTATATCAGTGCAATTCTGGTATATTGTCAGTTAAACATTAGTAAAAATATATATTTTAACTATTAACGTGTCTCATTATTAAACCACTACCACATAAAAATATAATTTCAAATTAATAAATATTTAACCGTAATTTAGTAAACAAAATTTAACCAGCTAAAATGAAAAGAAAACAGTTATTAAGAAGAAAAACTCGATTGAACCTATGCTAGTAGCACGTGTAGTAATGAGTGTAACGTCTGTGTAATGATTAGTGTTCTACTCGTTAAGTTGTGCAATATAACAATTGATTACAAAGAGACCGAGTTTGTTGAGCATTCTTAAAACTTTGAGTTTTCTTATTGATAAAAACAAATTTGGATGCTTATTAGTTATTATGCTTCATTTATTTCTGTAAAATCCTGCGTTGCTAGATTAATTGCACATATATATACAAATGAAATTATATTATACAGAGGAAATTACTCAAGATAGACTCAAAATAGCATTCTTCCCAAAGCATGATCTGATGATCATATGTTTGATTTTTCTTCAGTAGGATATACATTAAATTTTACCCCTAATTAAATAATTAATACCTTGGAGTATAATTAATTGTTCATAGTTCCCTTGCATAACTAATGTTTTTTTGTTGGTAGCGGATAAGTTTGATAACGGTGCGGCTAATTCCCATGACGGAGGCAGACGACAATGATATTTGGACAGATCGTGTAACACCCCCAAATTCGTACCTGAATAGATTCTAATTATAGCAAGTATAGTAAGAATTTCCCAAAAACATTTAATTCAAAAGAGTTTCAATTGCAGCGGAATAAAAAAATAGTCATTGGGTGTTACCGCCACATTCAACTATCTCTTAACCGAATGCACAGGCTAAAACACAACTGAAAAATAATCCAAGTATTTAGGTACTGATATCTCAAAAGGAAATATTAAACGTCTACATGTTCTCAAAGTGAAATAAACAATAACTAGGTGATTATAAATGCTAAACTACATGATCTAAGTATCTAACGCAGCTAGGGGTGGGCATGGGTCGGGACGGGGAACAAGGTTTGGGGTATCCCGATACCTGTCTCAAATTAGGATAACGGTTTGGAACCAGATGGTACTAGACATTGTCCTATTTTTGTCCTATTTAAACCGGTATCGGAACAAATCGGGATGGTTCGGGATATCCCAAAACATATACGCAGCAACAAAACTACAGCACAACCAAATAAACAACAAATCAATTTGAAAAAAAAATTGAAAAAAGCAACAAGACAAACAAATAATAATTCCTAATATAGCATCCAAAACCTGCCAATATAATACTACATCTGCCCCATAATGGAAGATGCACTTGAGTTTGGTGCGGGTTGTAAGAAAATAAAAGATAAAGTGGTTGTTTTACACTTATAACCTCCACAAGGTAAGAAAAAGTAAGATGAGTCCACAAAAAGTAAAAGGTGAACCTATAGATAAAGGGATAAAGTGAGAAAATAAAAAGTTAGCGGAATCCAATTTAGGAAAGTGGTCATATTTTTGGGACAACCCAAAAGGGAAGTGTATCTTACAAAATGGGATGAAGTGTGTATATTTTTTATGCATTGTAAAAGATTTAACGTATTTTTCAAATCCTAAAAATTTCTTAAAAACATTCTACAAATATGAGAGAAGTGTTGAGAAGTGAAAGCCTAATAAAATTAGGGTTCCTTTGGTTGTAGATTGAAGATAGTTCATAATAAACTTAAAATAATTTAGGATTCTCTCTCTTAGAATAAAAAATCCCTATAAAGATAGACGCATTTACGGGCTACTACTTATTGGTAGCACTAATTGGGCTGTAATTTTATAATTACTGGTGGGTATTTGGATTGAAAAACTAAAAGTACTACCTACTACTATTATTTGAAAACGAGACAATGAGACAGGACAACAATAATTCGTCCTAATTACAACGGGACAATTTAGAAACATGACCGGATCGAACAATCCAGAGCAGACCAACACGGGGTCGAGTATTTTGCCCACCCCTAAACACAGCTCTTGTCAACACGCATAATCTTCATCACCTGCACCAAATAATTCTCACAAAAAGGTAGTAGCAGCCCTAACTCACTAGCATCATGTGTTTCTCTGTGGGGCACTCATAAGTCACAATTAGGAAATTGTTGTTCATAGTTCATCAAAATAATTTGATCTTAGTCTCAAATACTTTCTCAAAATGTCTCGATCATATTCATATCCTCAAAAATGTATGCCTGGCATATCAAGTTCAAATTCGTAGTTCACAATCTAGGGTTTGCCTTCAAACTAATTTTGAAAATAGTATTTAATCTCATGTTCAAAATAATCCAATAAGGATACTTCTAACTCCAAAATATATATGTAAATATTCTCGCCAAATTACACATTTAAAAATATATAATTTGTCTCAAAATGATCTTCACAATTTCCCAAATCAAAACAGCAATTTTTCACAATTCACAATTTCGATCATAGTAATTAAAATAATTAATTACTCAAAATTCCCACATTACAAAATTTCTATAGAATCACATCACACTCAAATAAGTCCATCATAGCCGAATCACGCATAAAATTTCATAAAGAATCTTAAATCATAGCTCAAACCCTAATCAATACATAATAGGGGCAAAATAATAATTTTGGTTGCAATAGTCCTTACCTCGAGGCTAGCGTCGAATTCTAAACATGAATCCTAGATTGAGAGTTCACTCACACGTCCCTAAGAAGATATATGATTTTGGGATCACAATTTGGGAGAGAGAATTGAAAGAAAACGAAGAAACAAGAAAAATAGTTAAAACGCGTTTATCAGAAGATTTGGTTGGATGATCACGTTCTAGAAGATTTGGTTGGATGATCACGTTCTTGACCTAAAAAATCTTCTTGGTGTGTTAGAGTTGAAGAGCTGGAAAAATAGACTTTAGGAAGTCGGCATTAGGGTTTTTGGAATGAAGAAATTCATATTAGGCATGTATTTATAGTGAACTTTCGAAGTTGGATCGAACTGGGCTTAAAATAGTGATACACGCCTTGCGTGCATGCCTGCCATACATGACATGACTGCCACTCATGTCGTGTGTGGCTGGAAGTAGATCCCCCGTTTGATGCACCAAAGTCATAATTTGTTCTATTTCTTCCTCGTTTGGGCCTCCCCTTGGTCCGAAACACTAAACCAAACATAGTAAACTATCCAATGACCTTCTAAACGGTACGGCTCAAAGCTTTAAATATATCTCAAAATTTCAAGGTATTACAGATCAATAGTTGTGATCTAAGTGAAAATCCAACGTCCAGGAGCGGCAATCCGAATTTAAAAGTCTATGGACTTTTTGAAAGTCTATAAACCCATCCTTAAATTTAAAATTCAATAAAATTCATTCATAAAAACGTCAATGAATTTAATAGTTCATGATTTTTTTTAAAAGTGCATAAAGTAAAAAAAAAATCATCACAATCCATATTCAATACACCCCTTTAGTAAGGATGTTTTCTTTTGGATTGAAATTTGCTAGTCTTTTCTGATCTGGTCTCGTTAAGTTTGGTCTAGTGTCGTCTGAATTGGTTTGATTTGCTAAAAGGTTGGTCTCTATGTATTTTATAATTGTTCAAATATGATCTGATTCAATCTAGTCTGTTTAAGTTCAATCTAATTTGGTTTGATCAGTTTAAATTTGGCCTCATCTGGTTTGACACAAAAAAAGATTACGAGTGTTACGTACTACACTTATAAAATGAGATATGCAAGTTTACATGATTGTACAATGATAGAGTATAATTGACGGAGGAACGAAAGGCCACGTGTTTTACGTCAGCCTTGAGATTGGGCGGCTGGCAACTCAAATCAATTTGGTGAGGGTGAACCGCACGTGACAAAGTTCCACATCACATCTCTATCCCAATCAAAAAGATCATTATTTAATGTGTTTATGCCCATTCACCTAAACGAGTAGGTAGCTGTTTCGCTTCAACGAACCTTCTTCCTTCTGCCTGCTATTTATCTCTGATTCATAACCCCTGCATTCATCTCCAGCCCTCCCCCCTTCCCCTTTCCATCCAATCACCCCATTGTTGCAAAATCACAAGAGACGGTCGCTTTTGCGCGGCCATCTTCTCACACTTTTGTAACATTTGGGCGTCTTCTTCTCCAGATTGGGTTTTCCCTTCTCTCATTGAACAAGAAAAAGAATGCATTTTTAATTCTATGCACTTCGCCACTAGAATTGAAGCAGAACAAGATTGAGGTAATGTCAAATCTGTGTTTCGTATGGGATGTATTAAATTTTCAATCTTTTAGGTAAATCATATTGCATGGCCTATGAATCATTGACGTTTTCTAGATTCTAGATCCGTGGGTACTGAGGTGGATGAGCATTTCTTGATTTTCTTCTTCTTCTTTTTGAATGCAGAGACCTGAGCGGGCGGCGCGGATCGGGAATATGACCCTGGAAAACTGCTTGCCTATTCCGCCACCTACTCCGCCGTATCGTCCAAGCTGTTCGACGACGGGTAGATCGCCGATGAGAGGAAACCGCCACTGTGTTTCATCTGCAGATCGCCTCTTTGATGAAGCTTATCGAGCTGATGTAAAGATCAATATGAGAGATGGTCATGTCATCTATGCACATGCTAGCGTATTGGTAAGTTCCTTTTTAAGTTGCAGTCATGTCTTCTACCAAAGAATCCACAGATTTAGGATCTGTTTGGTTTATCTGATCTCACTCATTTTGCTTATTCTAGATTCTACAATAAGGCATCTAGCATCTTTTTTCATCACTCTTTGCTTTGAAAAACTAAAAGTGTTGCTCTCATCATGGAGGTGTTTTTGTCTGATTCTAAGCACTTCCATATAAAAGCTGAAGGCTAGATGAAGATGGTTGATTCTTTTAGTAGTAATTACCCAAAATAAGACTAAGGGTGTGTTTGGCAAATGGTTGTTAGCTGTTGTTGTTAGCTGGTTGTGTCAGCTGTTTCCTAACAGCTGGTTGTGTTAGCTGTTTTGACCGGCTGGTTATATTAGCTGATTATAGATAACTGTTTGGTAAAATTGGTTGTTTCGAAATGGCTGATAGAGTGTAATTGAACCAGCCGAATGAAGAAGTTGCCCCCCTTAGCTTCTTCAACAATCCATTTTTGAGCTTTTCAAACTCAACAAACTACTTTTAAAAGCCATTTACCAAACATCATTATTAGCTTCTTTGACCAATCAAACAGCTGAAATAGGTCAAACAAGCTAAAAGCCGGCTGATAAGCCATTTGCCAAACATATCCTAAATGTAAACATAATTGCAAAAATCGGATTAAAACCTAAATCTTTTACAAATAGGACTAACCATTAATTTTATAATCTTAATACCCCTAATCTAATTAATTGCCCCTTGGTTCCTTGGGCAACCAAGTCAATCCGTTGGTGGCGGGGCAGTCCGGTGGTGGCTCTGATGGCGGAGCTTCGGAGAGTCTCGGCGGCGTAGAACTGGTTGAAAATCATATCTGGAAATTTTTCCCGGATTCCGGCAGCAAGGCTGGAGAAGATGGATGGGGTCTGGTGGCAGCGCATAATTGTCCAAACACACCTAATTAGTCGTATTTAGGGAATTTCAAACAATATAGTCCTATTTGTTATTTTTTGCCATGTTTTAGTCTAATTGTCCAAACACACATAATTAGTCGTATTTAGGGAATTTCAAACAATATAGTCCTATTTGTTATTTTTTGCCATGTTTTAGTCCTATTTAGGTAATTAACTCTTTTTTTAGATTGTATTGTGTTGATTAAAAACACTTTGGTCAGAAAAGGGCACCAATTTGGTGTAAGAAAAACACGTGGTTGAAAAGTGACTTTTTTAGTCATCTCAAATAGGCACTAACTTTTGACTTATTTAGTTGAACTGGATGTTATTCCAAACTTTTTCCAGCCTTAGCAGATTTAGTCGTTCCAACTTTCAAGTTTCAACCCAATGACTCTCTTACGTAACAGACTATTAGGGTTTAAAGTTGAGATTGTTATTGACTTGATAACTGATCATTCTTATTTCTTAATGTCCATAGGGTGTGGCGTCACCAGTGATCAAAGAAATATTAAGAAAATCAACTAGACGAGGGCGAAATAAACATATATCAATCTCGATCACGGGTGTTCCAGCTGAGGCTGTTCATGTTTTTATCAGATACCTTTATTCGTCGTGGTAAGTTATACATATACCATGTGAACCTGGACAATTTCTTTTCAAGTAAACATCACATCAATAGTGACTAGATCCTTCATTCATGGCTGTTTGGACTGTTTTTTTTTTTCAGTTATGAAGAACAAAAAATGAAGGAGCAAGTGTTGAGTTTGTTATTGCTGTCACATACTTATGTGGTCCCTCAGCTCAAGAGAGAATGTGAGCGGGTGGTGGAACACGGACTGATAAATACCGAAAACGCGATGGATATTCTCCAGATGGCTCTACTTTGTGACGCCCCTCGGCTTAGCTTCATCACCCATCGGTTCATCTTGAAGAACGTTAAACCGGTTTGCGCTACTGAAGGATGGAAAGCAATGAAGGAAAGTCACCCCGCTCTTGAGAAACAGATTTTGCAGTCCGTCATACATCATGACATTGTAAGTATTATAAACACTGAACTGTGATTTCCTTTAAAATACACACGCGCGCGCACATATGTAATATATACACACATGGAATTGGGGTTTTAACATGTATATTACTAAAAATGTATGTACAAAAAATATCACTACTTTTTAAAAATATTTCAAAAATGACAAAGTATGTGATAGGAAAAAAACCCTCACACTGTTCCATATGTAAATGTCAGCACCTTTTAGTTATAAATTATTCAAGTCACCTCTGTATCTTAAATAAAAATTAGTTACATTTTTATTCATGAAGCTCTAGGAGTGGTATTTGGTAATTGCTTAGAAACTTGGGTTTATTCTAACATTACTGAAATTAAATTAATGGACAAAAAGATGACTACATGGTCACAAGATTCACTGCGAAAATTCCATTATATACGGCTATTTTAGCACAAAATTGAGATTTTGTGTTGTGACTAGTATCATTGCAGAAATACTACCACGGGCACTTTGTATTGAAATGAATTTTTTCCATTGTATTTATTATAATAATGTATTTGTCAATTTTTTCAAAAACTACTCTATTTAGGATTAAAACAAATGGAGTGGATGTCTTTTTCTAAATACATTTGGAATTCCACATAATATTATACTATACTAATGCTATTGTTACTAGTATATTTATTATAATGATTTAAACTAATTACAGTTCATATTGTCATTTTTGCTGCTGCTACTACTACTACCACTATATAATACGGAGTAATAATAACAACAACAACAATAACAATAATACTAATTTAATCCTAAGTATTTTTAATTATAGAGGATTAGAGGTGATTAATATGTGGTTTCATTCTCTTGATTTCAGATGCAAAAGGAAAGGGCTAGAAAGACAAACAATAGGAAAACATATATGAATCTGTATGAAGCCATGGAAGCACTTGTTCATATATGTAAAGAGGGATGCCGTACCATAGGTCCACACGACAAGGTGTTGAAAGGAGATGAAGATCCATGCGGACACGGGGCGTGCAAGGGGATAGAGGCACTGGTTCGCCACTTCGCTGGGTGTAAAATACGGATCCCGGGTGGTTGCGTACGTTGCAAGAGAATGTGGCAAGTCTTTGAACTTCACTCCTGGCTCTGCGTTGATCCAGACCTCTGTAGGGTTCCTCTCTGCAAGAATTTCAGGTTGAGGAGGAAACAGATGAAGAAGGATGACATTAAATGGAGGATTCTTGTGAGAAAGATTGTGAGATCCAAGAGCATTACTGGAGCTCCGTTTTTCTCATTGGAATCGGCTTGAAATCTCGGTTGTTTTCTCCCACTTCTCTTGTGTACTAAATGTAATGCTCGTTATTAGTAAATCGAGTATCATTCTTTTTCTGTTTCATTTCGAGTATCATTCTTTTTCTGCTTCATTAAACGCTCGTTTGATAAGGGCCATTCATAGAAATGGCCTAATGTATATTGACTTTTCTTTTTGAGAAGTAATATATTTGGTGAAACTCATTTCATCATACCAAGTGTGTTGTTACTTTGTTTTTTGCCTGATCTGCCAGATTTTTTATCTAATACTGCTCCGTTATTGTTTATACTTCACATGCCAGATTGGTTGAAGAGGACACTTTTAGTTCTTTTAATATATTTTTGTATACATTATTTAAAATGCTCTTTGTTTTTATGTTTCAGCAAATTTACCCATTCAGCAATTTCATCAATTTATTAGCGTCATCAAATGGGCTCCAAATAAGTCTGGGGCCTGGCCGACGTGCGTACTAAGAATCTCATGCTGATTGCTGGGAAGTCGAAAGGAGCCTAAAGGTTTGATGCTCGAAAGTCAAAAGCAAATCTTGTTAAATGGATGCAACGGAATTACAGAAGTGAAAGAATGATCTTTAAAGTTGCAAGAACAGAAAAAATTATCCCGTGAAATCGGGATTATGATGACACCTCGAGTTGAGGTTTTTATGCTTGTCATGCTTCAACAGTTTAAATGATACTAAATCTTCCTATGTTTGTCTGATTGTCTTCTCATCCCCAATAGCCCAAGCCTTTCTTCATGCCAATGCTAATACCCATTCTTTACACTCGACAAGATTTTTTTTTACAGCCAAAGAATGAGGTATTGATCGGAAAGAAAGATCTGTAAGAATCACGACGAGACACTATCAAAGCTTGAGCTTCTTTTATGTTTGGCGTTATATCTGCTCAACACAGGCAAAGAAGAGTTTGCTGGTATTCTGAATGATCTGGACGAATCAGCACCTGTTCTTTCATGCATCCTCCCAACATCTTTGCAGACACTATCCAATATGGACAGGAAATCTCTTACTATCATGAAGATTCTGAAGGGATGTGCGCCCTCTTTTGCCACATCTCCGTGAAAATACTCGGTCACTTCTTTCACTATCAATAACGCCTTCCTCTCTTCCTCATTAATCCTCTTTATTTCATCTTCCGCCACTTTTAGAAACATTTTCATGGACTTGAAAAAATTCCCTTGCATACCCGGTTTCTCATACTGCAACACCAAACGGACTTTCCTTAGCCCGGTTTCAAGCTTGGAGACATAGCCATGCAGGACATCTGAGTCCATTCCTGCTGCTTTCTTGACATTGCCGAGCTCCCGGCTCAACCCTGCTACAACTTGTAGTTCTTGTCTCTTGAGGCCTTCCTCTTTTGGCTTAATGATTGCTTTTTCACTGGTTTGGTTGGAAGCAGCCCCTTCTGACCTGATTATCTCTTGGACGACGAAGTGGAGCAATGTTGTCTTCCCGTCCGTCCCTTTTACATCTACAAGTTTTAGAAGAGTTTCGAGCTTGAAAGCCCTCGCATCACCGCGGTTAGTGCCAGTGTTCATTCGGTTTCCCGCTTTTAACACAGCTTCTAATAATTTGAAGAATAGCCGGCTGTTCTTCAACTCTTCACTTGCTTCCTGATAAATTTCACATCAAATAAAAAATATAAACCTGTAATATAAAATTTTGGCTAGTGACCCTTGAGAATTTAATTTTAATGTACTACGTATTAAAACTCAAAACTTGTGAGATTTGGAATCCCATATTAAAAGGTGAATCGAATAGATTGTTGAAGCTTTATACACGACTCGTTATACAATGACAAAATGTTGATCGATTGCTCGTCTAAGAAAGTTGTGCCTTGGAAGTTCAATTTTCATTTTTCATATGGCTCATTTTTTATATGGCCGGTGCAAGATGGCTTAATACTAAAGGTTTGGGAAGCTAATATATGGAGTATTTACCTCAAGAGTTTGGAATGACTTCCTCAAGTAGTTTACTTCTGAATCGAAATTTGCTCGGTATAACATTGCCTCCACTCTTATGAAGGCAAATGGCACATCAAGAACAGCCATGAGGAATCGTTCCGCGGGTCCCAATTTTGAGACGTCACCCTTGCGATCTCTTAGCTTTTTCTCTTCATCCCTCGTTGGAGCCATCTTCACCAAAGTCTCCAAAAGCTCAGGACCCAATCCTTCCGGGTTCCCTGTGACGAAAGAAAGCAAACACTATAAGAAATGAAATGATATGAAAGTCAATAATTCGAAATCAAAGTGCAGCAGACCATCTAGGAGTGCTTCGGTAACCTCTTCCTTTGTTACATTCAATGCCCTCAAAAGAATTGCTATGTTCTGTGACTTCTTCGGGTCAAGAACTTTGTCGTCCTGCTCGGTGGGATGACGGATTGCGGGTTTGAGTTTCTTAGCAGTTTCGTCTACTGCTGATTTTCCAGAACTAGTCCCAAAGAGTGACTCCATCATATCCTCATTCAATCTGAATGAATGTACACATACAAGCAGCATAATTACAAAATTTGCATTTATTGCTATTTATACAATCAAATTAGTTTTATCTAATCTCTAACTTTATCTACCAAGCTTTTTCATATTCACACATAGTTTGTTCAGTTCAATAGAACTTTTAATGAAATTTAGTAAATTTAGTTTTTAGCAGTCAATAAAGTTTAAATGAAAAAATAAATAAATCCAACGGACCCAGCCACATACTAAAAGTGTGCCATAAACTTAACACTTAAGCAACAGGGACGGCATCTGGTACTTACTGGAAGGAGCTGGACTTGAGGTGGTCCCAGACGGTGTCACGATCCGACGTCGTACGCACTTTGTCCCAGTGCAAAGGTTTCAGCTTTGGTTTTGATCCATCTATCTCATCTGAATCAGACCTCTCCACTGAACCGGGTTCTGTTGAAGGGCTCTTCTTCTTCTTCTCGCTCTCTTGTGGTGTTTTTGGGCTTGAACTCCTTGGTTCTTTCTTTCCGATTTCAAATGACGGGGGATTCTTCTTCTGTGAAATTCCGGGTGTTCTGGTCACCGGCGGCGGCGGCGGCGGCGGAGGAGGAGGAGGCGGTGGTGGAGGCGGTGGCGGAGGAGGAGGCGGGGGTGGGACTTCTGGTTTGGGTTTTTGCTCAGGTTGTCCACTTATCAATTGAAGCCGAGACATGTCCGGCGGAGGAGGTGGCTGTGAGAACTTAACTCTTTTGGGAATGTACGGCTTCGCCACCGGCGGTCTGTCATAACGGAGATGAGGCTCATGCGGAAGTGGCTGCGGCGGAGCAACCGGCGGCGGTATTGCAGGTTTTGCCTCGGATGAAGAAGCAGAGAGGCGTGATTTGGATGATGTTCTCTTTGAGTAGGGGACGTAACTATTAACTCTTGCCGGGTTCCGCCGCGAAACCGGCGCGTAATACCCGTCGTCGGCAATGTCGTTGCCCAGGACGGAGCCTTGCGGCGTGTAAAAGGCGGTGCCTCGGCTTTCTTCGTCGGATGATGACATTGCCGGAGGAGAAGTTATGTCTGGCGGTGGCTGCGGTTTGCTCAGCGGCGGCAGCGGCTGAAGGTCCGGGCTCGGCCTATACCGTTCGGATCTTAATTTCCGGTAAGGCGACCCGTTGGACTCACTCGCCGCCGACGACCGACGTGAGGGCTCAACTGTTCCGATGTACAGAAAAGTGGACGGCGGAACCGCTGGTTCCTCATTGACCCTCCGGGAGGGAATATTGCCGCCGCCGACAAGCTTTTGAGACACGGCGAGTTGCTTACGCCGGTGCTTGCAGAAGAGGAACACGATTCCCGACAGCATCCCCAAGGTGACAACCCCAACCGACAACACAATCGCCACCTTCTTGACTGGCTTCGAAGGCTGCGGCGCGATTGGGTTTGCAACCGGCGACTCATTTCGCTGGGCCGGCGGCGGTGTCTGCTGATCCGACGCGGCCGGGACGCTGGGAACTTCCGGGAAGAAGGGCTGGTCGGGGCTAGGAGTTATGGGATCAGCGGGAGGCAAAAGCGGCGGCGGCTGGAACAAATCGGAATCAACCGGTGAATCTGGGCCGACGAGAAACAGAGGCTGATGTAGAATTTTCCGGGCAATGAAATCTTGATTTCGGCGGGTCTCCGCGCCGGCGGCGAAAAACGCGACAAGAACGGACAGAATCAAGTACTCAGAGAAGATGGTTCGGGCATAAGCTCTCATTGTTTAATTCTGCAGCTTCTGGCAATTCCTTCTTCCAAATTCATCTCCCCCGGGGATTTGTTCCAAAAAAATCTGAGGGGAGAAAAGATAAAAGAAGAAACTTGTTTGAGCTGCAAAGATCTGTGAATGGTAGAGTCAAGCATTGTTGTCAGCAGTAGCCGCACTTTCTCTTTTTATATTGGGATCCTTTTGCGCATTATTTATATTTTAAGCAATAATAATAACCAAGTAAAGTAAAGTGACCTTGATGATTCTTTGTTTCTGGTTTATTCCTTGGCTTGATGTAGATATATACTGTCTGCTACTCAATATGTGTCGGTTTACTTTCACCTGTTCCTCAAAAAGTACACACCAAAAATGAAGAAAATTGTTTGATTATTTTTATGTGTAGAGTTTTAATTAAAATTAAGGTGGTTCCGGTCTCATAGGACTCCCAAAATTCCCAAATAAATTCCGGTTTTATCTACATGCGGATTTCACTATTGGCCCGTCTTTTGTTTTCGTTCATTAATGATCCTACCGTCTATGTTTCCGGATGAAATGTGAATATCACTCTATCAAAAATACATGAATAGAGTGGGTTTTCCACCAATTTTGAGTAAGTATCCTAAATAAACTACTTGAAATGGCTTGGATTGAATAGTCAACACATTGTCTTTTTCAATGTCTTACTTTATTATTGTTTTTGTTGGTTTATTTTAGAAATCTGCCACTTTTTGGTTTACTTGGTTGGTACCCATAGTTGGTTTGTGTGATTAGAAATAGGGAAATAGGGAGCTTCTTCTTGTACTCACTATTGTACCCATCATGTCTTCATAGACATATTTTTGTCTATGACCGAAATTCACAGACAAAAAAAAACTCCTCACAGACATGGTGGGTACAGAAGTGGGTACAATAGTGAGTAGAAAAGATTATTTTATATATCAATCCTTACATCTCCTACAACTGGTGGAATAACAACGAGTTTCAGTATGTTAGCGGATATTATCATTGTCAAACCTAATGCTTACGTTGCATTTGCAGGCAAAAGAGTAATTGAAGAAACATTAAAACAAGGGGTTTTGACACAAATAGTATTAAAAAATAGGTAATGGACAAAAAAGAGACCTTTTTTCTTCATTTCCAAAAATGTGACTAAGAAGCACATTCTTTACTAATTTACCCTTACTAAGTTTATAACACGGCACCAAACTATCCATGTAGCGCAAGACTATCACAACTAACGTTTTATTCTACTCTAGAATAATTCATTATTCTTTCAATGTGATCTGTAAGACTATAAATCTATAATATTATTATAATATTTGTTTCTTTAATTATTTTTTTATTTAATATTTTAATATTAATTCTAAACATAAATATTAGGATATGAAAAATTTGTGACAACTATGCAAGTGACCAATGGCTCAATTATTATTATTCCCGTGATCCACCGTCTCAGTTACTAATACGGCTCAAGTGATCAACGTCTTAGTAACTATTACCGCTCCAGTGACATCATTTCAGTTACTACCGCTCTAGTGACATATTCACCATCACCGGCCACAGTGACACATCTGCAATGACATCTCCGCCGCCATCATTCGTATCATTGCCCCCGCCATATGCCGTCGTTGCCGATCACAGTGACACATTTGCAGTGACGCCGCCACATTTACACAACCTTATGTAATACTGCCGCAGTTACACGGCCTCCGGTGACACTGCCACAGTTACATGACCTCCGTTAACACCGCCACAGTTACACGACCTCCGTTAACACCGCCACACTGACACAAACTCCGATCAAAAGTGACATGGCCTCCGGACAAAGTGATATCTCCACAGTGACTCCAGCCACGACCCGCCACCTTCGGTCACCACCAGTCACATGACTTCCCACCTTCACCCACCGCCAACGACCACCACCTGCCACCGCCACTCTCTGGCAGGCAGCCTCACCGGGCCCCTCTCAAGCCCCAACCCCTGATGCCCCACACCCACACTCAGCCCACAGACACCAGCAACCGGAAACTGCCAACCGCCGCCAACCGCTGTCAACCGCTGCCAATCGCCGCCAACCGCAGCCGCCAACCGCAGCCGCCCTAAACAGTGACCCCACAGGCCCCATCCACTAACCCCCCAGCTCCCAGCCCCTGTAAAATCGCTGCACAACACACCCCAGCCCTGCAACCGTTGCATTCCACCACGCCACCACCGTCTGCCGCAGCACTTCCTCTTATAACTCACCCCATCGCAACCCTAGACACCAACATCAGATCCAAAATCCTAATCGTGCCATCTTCGTTGCAATCGAAGCAATCACAGTGGTGGAGCTCCAGATCCGGACGAGTGATTGAAGACTAAGAAAGGAGAAGAAGAAGAAGATGCAAGTCAGGAGCCACGCCGTTGTCACCTTGCCTCACCGTAATCGTGCCATCTTCGCCCCAATCGAAGCAATCGCATAGGTGGAGCTCCAAATCCGTCGTCTGCACGGTCATCGCCGTCGCCGCAGCCACGCCGTCTTCATCTCACCGTCTGGATCGAAGCCCACTGTGTTAGGTCGTGTGGCTAATGGAGGAGGCCGAAGCTTGCGAGCCAAAGACTAGAGGTGTAGAGCTGGGGGGCGGATGAGTTCAGAGATGGAAAATAGAAGGGTGGTAGGCGAATGAGAAACGGAAGAAAATAAACGCAGGGGTTAGGCGAACGGGAAGAACGAGAGGGGTAGATAGATCCGGTCCCTTTTTTGTCTAAATATAAAAAAGGTCTTATTTTTGTATTTCAGAAAGGTATAGGTACTATTTATGTCCTTATTCCTTAAAACAAACCATACCTGATGAGGCACAAAACATATACTCTTGCGTTAGAGTGGTGGTCAATGATGTGAATTATACGTGTTAATGTGATTGTGTTTATGTTTGATTGTTGTACATATCTTATCAATATTTGTTCTATCTCTTCTCATTCTGATCATTGATCCAGTATTTGAATTTATATAAGTTTGGCGTCTACATAAAAGTATAACTTATACTTCCTCTGTTCTTTTTAATTACAACATTCACCTTTTCACGTTTGTCAACGTACACGTGTGACCATATTTAATTCTTTATTAGTAAAAAAACTTAAAATTTAGATTACAAAACTTAGTAATGAGACGAATTCAACAATATTTTCCAAAAACAGTAATTCACATTCATTAATAAATAAAATATGGTCAAAGTAGAAAAAACGAATAATGTATTAATTGTAACGTTGCAATTAATACGATACGGAAGATAGTATCACGTAGATCCTAGATTTCAACAATCTCAATATAATAACGATAAACAATGAGAATTGAGTAGAGAACATAATAGTCGTATATTAAATATACTGAGAATGATCGTTTTACGAGTACAGAGTATTCCAGTGATCATTGTGCAAGTACAAAGTATTCAATATAGCAGCGAGCCTCTCTCAGAATAATGGATGAAATCGGAGACACGATGATGTTATGGTGTCACTGCGTTGGTGAATTCACCAATGAGTGGTCTGATGTAATTGATTTTATTTCAAGTTACGTAAATTTGTTTGAATTATTTCGAAAAATTCATGTCTAATGTTAAGTTGTGCCAGACCTATTGATTTTTCCCCATTCAATTGTATGTATATCAATTGTTTTTTCACCAAAACGTCAGCTAATATATGTATTTATAGTAATTAATATCTGAGACGACATTTCTCTATCACAATTGAAAACTAATATAGAAAATATAAAAAATAATTAATTTTTTGAAGAGACAATGTAATCTGAATACAAAAAACACACATTCTGCACTTACATTGTTTATTGAGATTTCATAGGTGACTGCAAAAACAGTTGTGCTATTTATACTTACAATGTGATGAATAGTAGTATCTATGTATATTTTCTACTTTAATTGAAATTGAAATGAAACGATGAGATATTGTTATGCATTGAGGTCATTACATCAAAGAAGAAGAAATACATCTTAGGCGAAAGCACTCACCCTTACCGGATGAGTTGTATGCGATTGTATGTTATTTTAGTTAGTTTCCCATAATTACAATGTTTTATTAATTATACAAAGTTGCTAAATCGGTTCCCATAATCACAAAGTTTTATTAGTTATATCGAGTTGAATTGCATTGAACAACTAAATTTTGGAAACCGGAGGACTTTAAACAACAATAATTTCAATACATATCTACATTCAAGACGTAGGTGAAAGTTCTTGAAACAGGATTAAACATGTTTTGAATTTTCAAAATATGATTGCTGTATTTTTCTCCATGAAATAGAAGTAGCATGATAGTGTTTACTGTCATCTTGGAGTCATTATTGTCAAAATAGTTGCAGTATTACGCATTAATTAACATTATTATTTACTGTCTTTAATGACAGTTCTTTCCAATCATGGCAGTAACGACTCTCATTTTGGGAAGAATAACATAGTAGTTCTAATTGAGAATTCCAAAACATATTTATTCATACTCAAGACAATTTCTCAAGAAACAGTTGTTATACACTGTTTTGTTTATGGGGGGGGATGATGATCTGGCGCTCAAAGGGGAAATCGGCATTTTGGCCGGCACTACTGAAAGAGATTGGAGCCGAGATGGATGCTCTATTCGATTCGGCTCCATCACTTTATCAAGAAGATATCTTCACTCTGCATCTGATGCTGAGACTAATGAACCGCAAATGAAGATCTGCGATTCAATGGAGCCATCTGCGATGGCGATACCTCACTTCAGGGGCCTCACACAGATGCGGACTTTTCACAGGAGACAGAGCGGGCGCAAAGCAGTGTCATTCGAACCTTCACCGCCAGACCTCCACGGGAGAGGAAGCCATTGCGACATTGATGGAGTTCGCAAAGATATTGGGCTCGAGAATGAGGGCATGCGACTGGCCTGCATCGATCACAGAACGAACCATCAGGGCGACAACGTAGATGGAGCTCCTCATGGCACCCTACAACAGAACGAACACTTCGGAGATCTACAGGACTCATCTGTGAGAGGAGATGTCGATTCTCAGGAACTTGGGACTCTCCTTTTCAGGGGTGCAGAATCACTACTCACTCAAGGAGACCAACAACTAACAGGATTAATAGGTATCATCACTTGGACGACTTCATTTCCTCTAATTCGAATGGGTTCAGTTTTTTAATCGAAGGCAAATCCTTTCGGTTCAATATTTTTTTATTGCAATGCGATTCAAGTATCTGAAACGAAGCATGGGATAAGTTCTGCCATTAATCTCGATCTTAAAAGACTAATTTGGTTGAAGAAATCCATTCCCAAGCTTCTCTCCGGATATTGGACTTGTCCTAAGCTTGAATGGGATAATTCTCTCTTAATTCTT